ATGGTAACTAATATAATGAGAGTAAAACGATAACGAGATTGATAAGAGGTGAAAAACTAACAAATTTTCTGCAAAATGTTCAAGAGACAAACCGAATAGGGAGCACTTACAGATCTGCATTTACTGCACACATGATCTTGAAGAAAATATGCCGTCATAAGCATGTTCAAGCGATCGGCAATCATTTGATCGATAGTCGATTTTGTGAATGCCTAAAAATAAGATGAAATTCCAAAAAAAGTTTGAGAAAGCTATATAGCCTAAATCTCGAAGATAGGGGGACTGTGCACTTCATACGAGAGTGGCGACCGCAACTGGTGAATACTGCTTCTTTGGTTCATTTGTAATCGTCTTCGACCAAAAAGGCAGGAAAGGATTAGTATCCACTAGGATTCCTTATGGATCAGGATCCACTAGTTGTCTGAATGGAAGTGTCCTACGAAGAACACTAAGAACTCTTGCGCTATTCTCAAATGAAGTACGCAGCTACCCTTTGTCATCTCCGGGACGGACAGTGTACGTATTTGTATTTATGATGCAAACCGTGACTAGGAACGTGAACGGTGAGCGCGCGGCCGCGTAGCGGCATCTCCGTTTGTCTACTCAACTTTTATTGGAATCACAAATTCAGGCCCAAAAGCTCACTAGTTATCGACAGCAAAAAGCACTTCAATCAGTCACGGTGACAACGCCTAGTGGTCAAGCTGGTCTTCGCTGCGGACGCTGTGACCAGTCAGGGAGCTGGATTAAGCGCACAGCCAGCCCATTTCCCCAACTGTTGTCGCTTGCCTGCTTTAACAATCGTTGGAGAAGGGCTGGCGCCGCGCCAAAACCAGCCCCCTCTCGCGCCTCAGCGAACAAGGGTACAACCACTGAACGCTGGCGTGCTGGAGAGTGCGTCACACTACTTCGCCACATGAGCACCTGTCACAAGGACGCCGGCATATGAACAAAACAGATTGCTTCAGCAAGGACCTGATCCCGATTCTGAAGTCTATTGGGCCATTGTGTTAACATTTACACCACTGAGCCCGTGGCGCTTGCAACTCCGAAAGAAGGGGAGTGGGAGCATCTAAACGACTCGTTTGTATTAGGTTGTCCGGAAAGTTCTCAGCGTTTTGAGTGTTTCACGAAATCCGACGAAGGTCTTTTTTGCCTGGTCCTAATTGATGAAGTATTTTCCAGCAAGGAAGTTCTGAAAATGTTTGAAAAGGTGATAGTCGGTTGGTGAAAGGTCTGGAGAATATGGCGGGTGAGGTAGAACTTCAACCCCAATTCGTTCAATTTATGGATAGTGATTTGTGAAACGTGTGGGCAGGCGTTGTCATGCAGAACGAATCGGGGACCCTTTCCTGTTGAAAGTCGCTGGTGCAGGCTGAGCAAATTTCGGTGAACTTCGTCCGATTTCTTCACACGGTAGGACTCTGCTGTGATGGTTTGGCCTGGTGACAAAAAGTTATAGTGGATCACACCAGCCGATGACTACCACACTGTGACCATAACCTTTTTGTCGTGAGGATTCGGCTTTGGAAATTGCCTCAGGGGTCCGCCGGCATCCAACCACTGTCCGAAACGTCTCCTGTTATCATACATGATCTCCTTTTCATCACACGTGACAATTCGGTCCAAAAGCGGGTCGTTTCTGTTGTGCAAAAGCAGTGAAGTCAAATTTTTCGTCAGGTTGCTTGTAGGTCGACCGCTACTAGGTTCATCTTCAAGGCTGAAATCTCCAGAACGAAATTTGTCGAACCTTTGTCGCACGGTGCTTTCTCCAATACTAGTGGGGCCCACACTGGGTAATTTCTTCGAAGCTGTCTTGACTGCGGATGACCCCAATTTTGTAGTTGAAGAAACAATATCGTCGGCGGAGTTGCTCTTTTTGACAAGCTTGAAAAGCTCTTACAAGAAGGGGGGGGTCAATCATGCATGGTGAAAACGGCAAAAATTATACCATCAGATAGCGACAAGAAGTTCCTCTCTCAGCGATGTACTTAACTGGAGAACGGTAGGGGAGAATGAGTTTTAATCAGCAATGAATGTACAAAAAATAGTAACACAAAACGCTGAGAACTTTCCGGACAACCTCATACAAAGCTGCAAATAATACGAATAAAATTACCGTTCTCTCACAGGAACTGGTAAGAGAGACTAGCGAGCCAGAATATGTCTCCTCCCCAACCAAACAGTGCCCAAAGCAAGTTCGCTCACCTGTCCACACTCTTTGCACGTCCACGAGAGCTCGTCTCCTACATCCATATTGGTGGCCAGAGAGCAGTTACTGCAGAACACATTCGACAGATACACTGTGTTGCGTGTCGGAGGAGTTTCTTGAGAATCCAAAATTCGATGGAGATTTTCGCGAAGCCCTTCTACGCTGTCTTCAACAGCTGAGTCACATGATAACGCCATACAAATCTGGAAAATTAGAGCTGATAGAAAAGATAGGCTAAGGGGCGACCGTGTCATTCAAATCGAGGGAGAGGGGGTAGTTAAGGAATCCTAGACGAGAGGGTTGTATTTCAGTCTGAAAGGGATCGTACTTGGCCTCCCTAGGCAGTCTAGTCCGCACTGACATAGTAGGGACTTTGTAACCCAATTTCCTTTCTGATGTGATCTTCACTCCTATCCCAAGACGACCTTTCTCGTAACTCTTTTCTTTTCTTTCTTTCTTTCTCCTCTCTCTTCTTCCTCCTATCATCTAAGAGGTAACAGCAGTTAAGAAGACGAAAGTAAGAAAGACAGAAAAAGGAGAAAAAGAGAAACTCTCCTCACCGTCCTTGAAAACGTGTTTTTCCCTTTTCGTTTTTCCTTTCCTAATGCCACCCTCCCCCCCTTTTTCGATCAGGTCGGGAGGCGCTACTTTGCTCACTTTCCTTTCTTTTAAATTTTTTGACAAAAATTGTCGGTCGGAGGTACACATACCCTGTGGCCTCGACAACAGCAAATCACTTCATTCTTAACCAAGGTTTTCGACTTCCAGGGCCTCCTCCGCGATCTGAATGTAACTCTCCTACTCCTCGACTTGTAAACGACCCATTCGCTTAGAATTCCCTGAATTATGCACCTTGTGCTGAACGAGAGCGTTCCTCGCAACGACGTGCCCTAGGCGAAGATTATGGATCGTCATATCACAAGATCAAAACACAACCCTCTCCAAAGTTTCTCTTCTGGTACAAATCCGCCTTTCCCACCCCCATCCTACCTATCACGTTCTCAAGGTTTTTCCAACTTCCTACCGCTTTTTCCGTTTTTTTTTCGGATACCTCATCAGTTTTCTAAAAAAAATGCCGTCGAGCAGGGGCGGGGAGCGGGGGACCGGAGGCATATAGCGCATTGGCCGGAAAAAAAGAATAATTGTAGAAAGTCAACAGCGTACATTTCTTCAAGGGGAATGCGACATTGTATAGCGACCAAACACGACCCCCACTCGGTGGGACCCCCAACGTACGACGTGCCCTAACAAGTATGCGTTAGCCATTCAAAGGCAAAGGGCATGATTGCGGGGAAGGACGGATGTCAATAAGGGGGTGTGAGGATAAACGATCGCGCCCAGTGAACGCCATTTGAAAATTACACCAAAAGTACTGCATCCAGCCCTACTCCCTGACTCAGTTTCGCCCTCCCGCTCCCAAAGTCAAGAGGCATGACTCAACCACATGACAAGCATGACTTACCACATTAACAAGCGACGCGGCTGCATGATATGTCAGACGTCGACCAACAAGTTTCGAAATAACTCGGAACAAACGATGACCAATGTGCTGTTTGATCAGATTATTACGGAATTCCACAGCCGCTTCCGAGTCGAAATTCTACAAAATCAAGTGTTACTATCAGTAAAATAATTATGCTTTCGCTCAAAATACCGTCTTTCGCTGTTCCTGCATGAATAACATAACGTAGCCAGTCACAATTTTGCGGAACTCTTCTCGAACAGCGCCTTCGTCAGTAAGATCATCGGACATTCGCCAGTAATGCTTAAATGAACAGGTATACAAGCAGAAGTGTTAATGCAGTTTGAAAATGCATAGCGCAAATGCAGACCTGTTCGCAGCGAATGCTGGTACGTGTCGAGGGCCTGGGTTTGGCGCGGTGATAGCTCGTTTATTCCACCTTTTATGGTCGCTTGCTTGCTTCCAAACAATTGGTGGAACAGGCTGGCGTCGCGCCAAACCCGGCCCCCTGACACGTCCCAGCATCCGCTGTGAACAAAACCATACTTATGACTGACCTGTGTTTTGAACTGTTCGCTTGGCTGCCTTTCCTCATCGACATTCTCTGTCGATTGTTCACAGATACCTTAATAAAGAACCACCTATTCACAACAGAGGCAATTGAAAAAACATTCGGCACTACTGACCCTTTCCCACCCTAGTCTTCTAAAACCAGGCCAGTTTCTACTGACTTTTTCGCTGAGATCTAATTTTGGCTAAAAAATTGCCCTAAGGGTAGCCCGCTCTCCAACGTCGAATGTCACACCCCTCCCCCCACTTGGCATGAATCCATCTCGCGCTCCCGTCACGGGTGCGGATTGAAAATACCCCTCGAAGATGAAATTGACCGAAAACTTGTCTCCAGCGATAGTTTGACCCCCTGAATACCAATGTCAGCTCTGCAGCGCCAAACTATCTAACGTCCGTGTTACAAGCGACGGATCGACAAGCCCATTTTGACACCAGTGCGTGTAGCGCGGATTACAGGCTGCTTTGGAAAAACCAAATCCTTAGGAATAAAAGTTCCTCTATTTTGGCGCTTTACGGTATTCTGGCGTCGGCTGTGGCGCTGACGCCAGGTGGTTTTGTGCCAAAGGGTTGCGATATTTGCATTCATGGGGTCAAAGTACCGCAGAGAGTTCTGTTCCGAATCTTGGAAACTGGGTAACTAGGTAAAGGGTAACTAGTGCCTGGAATTCGATAGACGTTTCGTATACCTACCAGTAAAATTATGGCCGTCATACCACAATAAAGTACTCCAGGTGTGAATTGGTCGCATGTGGAGGGCAGCAAAAAGTGGGTTCTGACTCAGAGATTGCAGCAAAAGATCCGTGAACGCTGTGCCTTGATCCAATTCGTGTTTTCCAGTGTCTAGCACAAGTCGCGTTGGTGTTGCGTGAATAATCTACGAAACAACGGAATACTTAGTGATTAGCATAACACGGAACGAAATCACCGAAGGTTTGCACTGACCTTTGCCCCTAGTCGCTCACACTCAGCTGCTAGCAGGAGAACCAGTTTTCTCTCCAGAATTGCAACACTTCTTGTGATAGCCGGGTCGAACAGAAGAGCATTTGGAGAGTGGAGCCACCTTAACATTCTGAGAATCAGAAACAGTGTTCAGGGAGGGGATTCGAAAAATTTGTCCGGTGCAGTTCGGCGACGGGGGGGGAGGGGCATTTTGCACTTTCGTTGCTTCACTAGTTCCGGTTTACAAGTCTCACTCTGGTGAAACCTGTGAACTCTTGTGAAGCTGGAGCAAGCTCGTCAAGCCATCATGGTAAAACCTGTCAACTCAGAAAAGGCTCTCTAGATGGGTCGACACGTCGATGGGAAGTAGCAAAAGTGCAAAATGGGCCTCGTCGCCGAACTACCCCCATTTGTCCATTCAAGTACAGTCTTGTTCGCTGCGGATGCGTGTCGGGGGGGGGGGGGAGGGGGAGCACTGGGGCTAGGTCAGCGTGACGCCATTCCGTCCTCCACCAACTACTGAAGAGAACAGGCGACAATAATTGGTGAAAAACGGGCTGGCGCCGCTGCGCCAAACCCAGCTTCTACTGACACGCCCGACATCCACAGCGAGCAGGACATGCAAATATGTACCGGCGATGTTTGTCAAGTTGTCTGCAACTGGATGAAAAAAGCTAGAAAGATGCACTGTTGGGCAATTTTTAATGGCAGAATTTCATACATGCAGAAAAAGTAATGAAAATATCCGAAAGTATTGAGTAATGTTAGTATCAACACTAATCAGTGATGAATTGGGCCCAACAAGTTGACTGGGATTAGTCTCACTAATGGGCTTAATCTTCATAGTCCCGCGAACAGAGGGGATGCTTTTGCTTGTGACGCTGTATTCGTGACCTTGTCCCCATCTCAAGGCTGGATGACAGCTGTCTCAAACAGCAAGATTCCACGACAAACATTACATCGCATCACGTACAAATGGGGTACGCAGCCACGCCCTCCCTATTTCTGGGACATATACTTCACATGCAGTGCTTACCTGAGGCAGAAAGGAGTGCAGCTGCGAAAGTGATGAGGACCAAGACGAAAGAGGCGGAGAAGTACAGCCATGATCATCATGAGTCAGTATCCCTATCGCCTGCAGGCATCATGAGGCAGTCATGATGCCTGCAGGCGATATGGCGTGTGGTGCGGCGCGGATCGGAGCGCAGCCAAATCTGCTATTTTCCACCAATGATGTCATATTGAGCCCGCTACAATTGGTGGAAAGCCTACTCTGGCAGTGCTCCAAGCCACGTCACACAATGTATCAGGTATCAAGGCTTTATGTGAAAAAGAAAAGGAAAAGAGTCGACATGGAATAAGCTGCCACACTCTTGCCGCCTTCCCATATGTACGATACCAACTGCACGTCTTTTGTCGGTCATTAGTGGAAATTTTTGAGCATCATATTTGTTTGGAATGGAGGTCAGGAGGTCCGGGTTGCGGCGACATGCACAAACTAGCAGGCTGCATGGCATCTCCTAGATGCTTGTATCGGTTTGCTACAGCACCTTTACATCGAATAAATTAGGTCCCGGCGCAAATTCCGCGCATGCAACGCGCGGTAAAAAGGAAACATTCAAATTTCCGTCGAAATATCGACAAATTTTTTTTCCAAGCTCACCTGCTGAGTGACATGACAACTTGATCAGCACGCTTGTTGGCACTTGTAGCAATATCTCGTACACATTCTGTTAACATCAATTTCAAGACTTTCAAAGCTGCATCCACAGCAGCTCCTTCGTCAAAGTCCGAGATCGTGTTCCTGAATCAAAAGACCTTACAAAACTCCAAAAAACCTTATCTTAGACCCCACAGCTTTCTCTTGAAATCCCCAGAGAGACTGTCAGGCATAGAAAAGTCAACGTTAAGTACATCACTTACCGCAACCCATTGAAAGTATCTGATGGCAGTGCAGCGGACGAGTCAAATGCTACAGTGTCGTCAGCACCCTCTGCTTCAAGTAATCGACCTCGTTGTACAAGTGCGGTGACCTGCAGGTATCAAGCTATACAAACAGCCAAACAACAGGAATTTTCAGGAGAACCAGTGAAATAGTGGGTTTATATTAGGGTTGGCGAGAAAGTTCCGTCACATTTTTTCAAATTACGCTTTCTTTTTATAGAGAGGCGTGTAAGATCAAAATTATACAGCAATGTTACTGCGGGTTCTTGCCAGTTTTTGAGCACCTCATGGATGCCATCGCTTCACAATGCAGGGAGGCGCGACGCAAAGTTGGACATCATCTCAATCTTGACTTGAACTCGGGTTATGGAGGTTTTCTCGTCCACATAACGATTGAGTACGGGAGGCAACTCGCAGTTAGAAGGAGCAATGTCTGTGCTACACCAGTGCAAGGGGAGAGCCATCCAGCTCTATTGCATGAGGTACGGCTCGAACTTTTTTGGACGGAGTGCGCTGCACTATCATGATGAGGGCGGGCTGTGCGGACAAATTTTTCCCTCTGATCGACGGTACGCTTTAGATCTCGTAGCTGTTTGCGTACGCATTGAGCGAGGAAGCAGCTTCTTCATCCAGCATTCTCACGCCCCGCAGCTCCCTCAATCTGAGTTCACAGGTAAGCCAAACCTCACATCATCAAAACTGTAGTCTCCCGCTTTGAAGCATTAGCGTCGTGGAAGGTTGTACAATATTGATGGCATCGTCCTCATTCAGCCCCATTATTTTGGCATCTGCAGCTATCATGCTGGCGTCAGGGTGGTGGAAGAAAGAGTTTGAGGAAGCGCTTGGAGGGGTCGGTGCCGATGGTAGCGGATAAAATCCTTGTCCATATTACAGAAGAAGAAGAAGCAGGAGTCAAGCGAGTGGTACTAATGGAAAGACCATTCCTTGATGTATAAGTGCTCACATTACCGGTTACCCCTCTTCAGGTAATGGGCAAGTATTTTGAGTTCGAAAAAGTGTGACAGAACTTTCCCGCCAACCTAATGCTTTGCGTCAGCGTTCTGAGCGTAATAATGAGCGATCCAGCGCCAGCGCGCCGCACATTCAAAACGCCCACGCAAAGCATGAACGCACCCAAACAGCAAAAGCGCATTCGATCTTTCGCGAGGATATTTCCTTGCAATCTTGCGCGAAGCACGCACTACACCACCTCTGCACCTAGTAGATTTTAGAGGAAGCCACCCCATATTTCCCTTTTTGTATTGTGCTAATATTACGCATATACAATATAATATCTATTTACACTAGTTTTTCACAATTTCTATATATTAAACACGTACACTGTTGGACGGATTTCATAAAATGATGCACTTGAACCGCCCCCGACGACCCCGCCCACTTATTAGAGAATTGATTGTAACTTTTTGCCGCCATATAACTTTATTCAGTGACATGCTTTTTCAGTGACCTTTGCGCAGTTTAGTTGTACGTACTGAGTGCAACCTACTAAACTCCTCCCCTCGGCCACGCCTTGCTTTAGACATTCTTGCTTTTTTCTGAAGAATTTCGGTGTTCAAAATGAAAATATTGAATTCATAGTGAACAAGATCCAAAAGACTTACTGCAACGGCCTCAAGAGCGAATTCGATGCATACACTTCCACAGAAGGACCGCTCATTCAACAAAACTGTTTCATCTGAGGTCAGTGGCTTCCAGTCTGCACTCAGACGGAGATCATCCAGTTCCTAAATGTAAATGTTACTGGAGAAATAGCTTGTAAACACCGCCAGTACTCACTTTGCCACCAAGATCGGGACGGCTCGATGGTGATGCCCACAGGACATGTCCTGCTCTTTGAAGGTTACGGGCAAAAAAGAGATCAAGTCCGAAAAGACCTGCGTCATTTGGTACACTACCAATAGGAACGTGAAGATAACGAGCCCACTCGGCGTAATCCTGAAGTAAGTGGAGTTTGCAAAAATTTCACGTTTGCAATGAAAAAAATCGATAGGAAGCCGTTACCTTCACGTAGATGAAACTGTTAAAATAATGCTTGCAGACTCGTTTTGCTACCACACGCTGCCATTCCATGACGTTCAATAATGACGGTGGCTCTTGGACGTGAATTCGAATATGAGGGAACAACGAAAGATGCACTATCCTTTTCATCTGAAAAAAAACTCCATGGGTTCTATGGAGAACGATGAAAGTAACTTGTCAAGGTAACTGCTGTTCAACGCCGCAGTTCGCGCTCCAGAAGTTATCACAAGAATATCAAGTTATGGGCAAAAGTCTCGATCGGTACGAGGTTTAGTTTCTAGTTCCCCTAAAGTTATGCATTTTCCCCACAACTCTGCATTCTCGGGATATAACTAAAAGGAACATTCCTCGTTTTTTGCGTTCTACTTGAACGATTCCGTCTTTTTCACTAGCGCATCCCTCATCCTGGCCATCTGGGAAAGAGGAGACCGCAGCTGATTTTGCCGCCATCAGTGGGGGCGGTTTCAAAGGGGATGGAAGAGCCCACCCGCAGCTGGTTCTTTCCTTCCCAGATCGATCACTGACCACCACTGGTACTGCATGGCAGCCGGATGGCAGATTCTGCCCCTTCCGACACCGCCCCGACTGATTGCGACCTTATCAGCTTATACCACGAGGGGTGGAGTTGTCAAGTGATCCGCTACGTCCTTTTGTTCTTCACCGCCTTAGTCCCTATGAATTATCGATGCGGACAAATTGTTGTTAAATTGAGTTCACAGACTCACCGATTATCCCTCGGTTTCCTCATCGATGAGCAGACATATAGCTGTTGGCTTCACACTGGCCCTTCTCTGCAGACCCGCAGTGGCCGGAAGATAGTAACTCAAAGCGTAACAAAAGATTTCACCAGCCTTGTTCGCTGCGGATAAAAGGGCTGTCAGGCGGCATGATTTGCGCCGCGCGTAGCCCATTCCCACAAAATGTTGTCGTCTGTGCTTGTTGAACAAATGGGGAAAAACCGGGTATGGCGCCGCTTCCCTGTGAAGAAAAAAAGTCTTTGTAAGCCGTTCACCTTGTTGATTGCTTCTCGGCCTCAGCAGAACGCGGCAAATGACGGTTGTAACTTTGATTTTACCTTGTCTTATGAACAGCTGAACCCATCTGATCCTTCCTGAGCGAAATGTACTCCGTTGCTGGGACACATTTGCATGAAGGAAGTAACTTACTCTTCATCATATATTTGAGAATACATCCTATCCATGTTTGGCATTGCAACTTCCCCGCGTTGAACTATGAAAAATGAACCAGTTGAGGAAGCAGAATCAATCAGCGTCCATACTTGCCGCGTATCCTGAAGATATCGGAGTTAACAGAGACTGTCTGTCAGCCTGAGAGGTGTGAAGAAAAACATCCGAAACTCTTGCCAACCTGAGCAAACTTGTACAAGGAACACGGTCCGAGTAGAGTCGTTGAATAGATAGGACTGAGCCGACGAGAAAGGAATCATCCTCAGCGACTGAAAACGCAACACGAATGATGTACTAGGCAAGAGCATTGGTTGCTACAACCTTGTTCAGCGCGGATGCTGGCTTTGGCGCGGCGCCGGCGCATTTTTCACAAACTGTTACCGCTTGATTTTTTTAATTACTGGTAAAAAATGGAGTGGCACTGCGCCCATCCCAGCCCTTTTGACACGCCCCAGCGTCCACAGCGAACAAGTCTATATGAACCTGAAGATACTGTCCCAATCACCTGAGTGATGGATATTTCTCGTGCACAAAATTAGCAGGTCCACAGCTGTGCAGGGGTACCACTTCTCTTTTCTAGTTTTTTTTTTCTGCTTCAGGTGCGCTTTGCTCTCCCCGCTTCACCTCCCCCCTCCCTTTCGACGCGGCAGCTCTCTGTTAGGAGAACATGAGCGGGTAAACTTGGGAAACGCACGGCAAAAGCGGTAGGAACTTGTGAGAATTCAGAAAGAAAAGGTATGTAGTACGGGAGATGGGGAAGAGCGGGATGCGGAGGGAGTCACACCAGAGGTTTAAATTTTTCTTCAGCAACAGGACGTGCCCTGATTGTACTGAAATGCTGAAGCACAGGATACTCTGTGCTCAATAAATCAGTTAATGAGCAGCGCCACGGAAAATGAATTTTCATGCTGCCTTAGGCTGCGTTTATACTATGCGGCAGCGTCCACCGGACCAGGAGTGGGGAGTAAAGGGGTGATAGGAGGGTAGCAAAGTGCTGCTAGAGTATGAGGAAGTAGGAGAGTAGCAGACAGCTGGATTGATGGTCGTGAATATGCGGCGTGTGCAACCGCACCGTACAACTGTTAAAGCACAGAATTATGCAATTCACTGTACGGTATTGTGTAGTAGTACGGTGCGCTTGCACGCGCAGCAATTTCACGACGTAATAATAATCTAATCCAGTAGTATGCTCCCTCTTACATCCCAATACTCTAGCAGCAGTCTGCTACAGTTCTACTTCCCCATACTCTTAATTCCTGGACGCTGGTGGACGCTAGATCGATATCTATACTGTCCTAGCCCCTGGCGCTGACGGACGCTCGAAACGCTGGTGGACGCCGCCGCAAAGTATGGACGCAGCCTAACATTTGCGCAACATTTCCTCAAAAATTATACCTACCTCAAGCGAGTACACTCCACCAATCGGTGGAGCCAGTGGACGACAAAGGCATCCAATCTGAGTTAATGCACGGAACATCAACGGAGTTTGAGACTCATAAATACCTTCAATACGTGAACAGCACAGTTTTTCATTGATTTCATTCATAAGCTTCTGTTCAGTACTCTGAAAACCGATGTACTACTCAAATTATTTCACTAACAAAATCTCACAAAAACAACATACTCCGCTTATGATATGTTCGTACAAGTAATGTACTGCTTTGTGATGAGGCAGCACTCGGCGTACAACATCTCTGCCTTCTGTGGGCTCCTGAAAATCAGAGACAACTCTTTCATATAAAATTCACATGAATGAGAAAAATTCGTCGCTATACCCTTTCATTTATGATCACAATTCGAGGAACTCGCAGCTGGAATCTGTCCATTCGGCCTTCTAGAGCTACCCAGACATTGTATATACCGGGTGTTATCGTCTCCTCTATCGACAGTATCTGTGCAAATGAAGTTATATCCATAGTTCCAATACCTCAAAAGGACTTGGTGGCACACTGTGCGATAACTTAACGGGTGGGTACTGATGACCACTGCCTCTCCCTCATTGGAGCGCGATCATGAGAGGGATGGACGTTAGGCAGCGTTCAAACTTCGCGATGACGGGCGACGACGCGCTGCAAAGCACTGCAACGCGCGTTGACGCGCTCTTACTGCTCCAGTGCTGTAGACGTGAAAATAGCCGCAGAGGGGTATCGATCGACGACGGCGGATTGTGCTTCGAGAGTATAGTATAACAGTCGGGTCATAGGGACCGCCTTCACACAATTCTGGTACCCTCTTTTCTCTCTACACGTATCCCAGCAACATCTTGCGGCCAGCGCCGCCTCGACACCGACGTGTTAGTGATTGAGGCACGCGCGTTACACACCCCATACTCTCCCTCAGACCATGAGCGGCTGGCGCCAATCCATACACGTCTGCAGCTGCATTCCTGTTCATAGCATTGGAGCTGTGGTAACGCGACTCCGCCCGCTGCGCGTCTAAGCAGAAGTCTAACGCCTGCCTCAATGAGGAATACGAACGAAGACGGCATGAGCTTGCGTGCAATTCTTTCGCCCTGTCGTCATCACGGAAAGTGCCCCAGTCATCAAGACAGATACATACCGGCCATATCTATTCTCGCATAGCATTCTCGACCGTCAGTTTTGTCAACATTCGTTCCACCATTGTGGATCCTAAAAAAGAAATAAATCCCAGAAAATGCAAACTGCTCGAATTTCTTTTTAAAATAACCTCTTTCTTTTCTCCTGGTGAGATTATTCACTTTGGCTAATCGCCATTTCTTCTTCAGATATCGCAGCCATTCGTCAAAGCCGTCACGCGAAAGCGTTTTCTTGTGGTAAGAGTTTCCGGTCGGTTTCCTGGAAAATGTTAAGTCTTGGTAGACCTAAATCATCTGAGCGAGTTCTCGAGCAAAGCCGCAGAAAATAGTTCCTCACCGCGTCTGCAAATGCCGGCACTTTGCGTCCCCGCCGCGGCACTCTCTCCCCTTCTGACCCATTGATGCCGGCCCCCATGCGCCGGCACGTACTCATCTATCCGTTTTCGCCGCCCCTATCACTCACATGCGACGGATCCGGCGTCGGATTGCCTGTGCCTCAAGGGTAGGGAGGACAATCACAGTAGGGCGCCGTACACAAATTCTGGTACCCTCTATTCTCCTACACTATCCCAGCAACATCTGGCGGCCAGCGCCGCTCGGACACCCGACTGTGTGTGATTAGGCACGCGCGTTTAACACCCCATACTCTCCCTTAGGCCATGGGTGGCTGGCGCCAATCCATACCCGTCTGCAGCTGCATTCCTGTTTATAGCATTGGAGCTGTGGTAACGCATCGCCGCGCGTCATAGCGAAGTCTGAACGCTGCCTCAATGAGGAACGAGCGAAAGACCGGCATGACGTCTGCGTGCACATTCCTTTCGCCGCTGTCTTCACCGCGGAATGTGCCCCAGTCATAAGACAAGAAACATACCTGCCATATCCTATCTCGCATAGATTCTCGAGTATTTGTCAACATTCGTTCCACCATTGTGGATCCTAAAAAAGAAATAAATCCCAGAAAATGCAAACTGCTCGAAATTTCTTTTTAAAATAACCTCTTTCTTTTCTCCTGGTGAGATTATTCACTTTGGCTAATCGCCATTTCTTCTTCAGATATCGCAGCCATTCGTCAAAGCCGTCACGCGAAAGCGTTTTCTTTGTAAGAGTTTCGGCGGTTTTCTGAAAATGTTAAGTGTTGGTAGCCTAAAATATAGGCCTTGGCAAAGACGTCCTGTCACTCCGTTGTGAATTGTTTTCTTTTCTTATTTTCTAACTCAACATGAAATAAAAACTAATCAATAATATAATCGCCATTGTTAGCCACTACAGTGCTCCACCTAATGGGCAACTCAGCTATCCCCTTCTCCCAGAACTGAGGAGGCTGCGAGTCGAAGAAGTAGGCAACTTCTCGATTGATGCCATCAAATTCGCTGAAGGTTTTCTTACCTAGGAAAGCCTTGAGGGAGCGGAACAGTAGTATCGGAGGGGGCCTACGGTCGTCGGAGAATATGGCTGGATGGGGAACGGTCCTCGCCAGCGCCTCTAGCTCCTCAATTTGGCGGTGGGTCTCTTTAGCCACATGTGGTCTGGCGTTATCATGGAGGAGGTGCACCGAAGCTCGTCTCGGCCGCTTTTCTCGAAGAGCTTGCGCGAGTTTCTGGAGTTGGGCGGCGTAAACGGTAGCGGTAACCGTATGCCCTTGCGGAAGCAGCTCGGTGGTGCAGCAATGCCCTTTTCGAATCTTCCCGCCCCAGAAGCAGCAGAGGAGGACCTTCTTGGAGTGCAGGTTCGATCTGGGCTGCGTAGGCGGGTCTTCTCCTCGAGGGAGCCACATGGCACGACGTAGGTTGGAATCATAGAGGACCCAGCTTTCATCTCCAGTCACAATATCTTCCAGAAACTCCTTCCGGTTACGGTGTAGAAGGAGGGATCGACAGATGCTCACCCTGGCATACCGCGTGCCATCTGTTAGAGCATGAGGTATCCATCGCGTGAGGACTTTTCTGTAGCCAAGGGCCTGAAGGCGGTTTAGAGCTGTTGTATGGCTACACCCTAGCCTTGTCGCAATACTGCGCGTGGTAGCCTCTGGATCCTCTCTGACAGGTTCGAGAACGGCGGAATCTTCTACGCCGCGAGGGCGTCCCAGACGAGGTTTGTCTTCGAAGATCGTCTTCTCCTTTCGCGAAGCGAGCGAACCAACGGTGGACAGTCCTGACGGTGGTGGTGTCCTTCCCCAATGCACAGTTGATGTTACGGGCCGCTGCCGTCGCTCCAGTGCCGCGGCGCCACTCATAGAAGATGATCACTCGAAGCTGCTCCTCCAAGTGAAACTGACAGTCATAAATAGAACACAGGGAAGAGCACGAGCCCTTCGAATATGACCTTTTTTGGCAACACAAGCTTCGAGAATGTTTCTACAACCTTAGCATGTTACGTCATGTTCGAGCTCCGAAGATCAAAAACTGTAGGCTATCTAAAAAACACTGACAGGACTTTCTTTCCAACCTATATTTGAAGTCTATCTAAAAAACCTGACAGGCACTTTTTTCCCAACCTATATCTTGAGGATTGTTCGAGCAAAGCCGCGGAAATAGTTCTCAACCCAAGGGGCATGCAAATGACAGAATTTGTGGGAATTTCTTTGATGATCGGATGGGCGGAGACTCATATCGTTGCGCCTTCATCAATGCGACCCCCCCCCTCTTAGCGCATTAGAAAGGGCGACGCGCCAATGAAGACGAAGCTAGGTTTCCGCACCCAACCCAGATGTCGTGGACCAAGTTTTCAACTATTCATTTCATGAAAGTCTGTAAAAACAACTGACATAGGTAATCATTACCCACCTCAGGTACTGAACGCTGTTTCTTCGGGTCGTTTTCTTTGTTCCCCTCGTCTTTATCACTAGTCTCCTCTAGCTCCATCTCATCCCCGACTCGCTTTCCGTTATCATTGATGACCGGGGGTAACTCGTCCGGACTCTTTTGGAAAAGATCTGTGATCCTTGGCTGGCGGATAGCATCAAATCTACCAAATACAGCATGAATAGCGACAATGACGACATTTAGAATTGAATCTCTTACATTTTTTCATCTATAGCAACCAATCCGGGGCGGAATCTGCTAACGGAATGTAAATCCTTGCTGTGCCTGCAGGAATTGTAATCAATTTTTTGTTTTTGTATACAGCTTCCCATCCGTTCAATGTAGTAATCCCAGTCCAGGAGCTGAAAAACCCAGGGTTTTCTTTCCACAAGTTGCTCGATATTCAGAAGCGGATCGAGCGGGATTGCTAGTTGGGCGGGGACGGGAAACGATGTCATCAGAGCGCCCCTACTCTCACCGCCTCTACGATGAGAAGGGCGGGTAAAAGAAAAATGGAGCGCCAATGACGTCATCTCCCGACTCCGTCCACCTAGCAGTCCCGAGCCTTGAAAATATCGTACGCGCTACCAACCTCCCTTATGTTCATTTTCTCTATAGGTAGACCGGGCTGCTTTGTCCATTGTTTCAGATAATGACATCGAACTTTCTCCTCAGCCTGAATCTCCCATTGAAAATAAAGTTCGTATCATAGAAGAGCTAAACAGACGAACCCTGAAGAGATGCCTACGGGAACGCGCGTGCCAGTCACCGGAGACACCAAATGGGAGTGACGTGCAAATGACGAATTTACATGCTAAGCCGACTCCGGACGGGGCGGGTCTTACCGTACAAACATAGCACCAAAGCACTGAACAGCTCACCTTCACCATATCAGCCCCGAGAAATTCAGCCTAATCTTTTAGCTGTACTTATACTCGTACTCTTCTGACCTCCGTAATCTTCCAGTTTTCTTGACATACTTCTATTTTCAGAGATAAGATCAAACAACTCGGCGTCAGACAGTGTCCCTCCTTTTGAAAAGAGAACATCAAGCCAGTAGTCCGCTTCACGTGAGGCGCTCTCGTAGACCTGCAATGAAGAACCAATGAGAAACACCTGTGGCGTACAGGCTTGTTCGCTGCGGATAAAGGGGCATGTCAAACGGGATGGGTCTGGCACTGTTCTCCACATGTTGCTGAGGCGGATAAGCCGGATGTTTCGGCGCACTTGTTGCTTGCTCACATTAACTACTGGTGGAAAACGAGTTTGGCGCCGCGCCAAACCCATCTCGCGCGTCCCTTCCTAAGCAGCCACCGCTGCAGGATCGTATGCAAATCATCTGAAAGCTGGTTGGTAGTAAGAAAGACTAACCTCCGCCAAGGTCGTTCCACGAAGAAAGGCCTTGAAGACAGCTGATTGGAAGTGTTTTATAATATTGAGTTCACCACGCCTTTTCACTTCGAAACCCTTCAGTTCAGCCAAGGACCCGTCCAAATTGAACACCGCATACCTGACGGATGAAACCAGCATTAAATAGAATAAAAGTGCAGTTGTCAGATGAACATCATTACCTCTTTTTGAGTTTCTTCCCTTCCTCTTTTGAAGCAGGGAGAACCATGCACTGGTATGGTCCGTCCACCTGAAGAAGAAACAATAAGTTGTAACATCATCTGCAGAAGAAGCCACCGTACCTCGAAGAAAATAGAATTCTCTTGTGTGATCGTGTACGACCCGTCTGGTTGCAAATTATGATACTGATCATTTGTGAAGCCTGCGTTCACAACAGCGTTCAGCATAGCACCAGGATACGACACAGTGATCTAAATACGCTTCTTATCACAAACGGAAGTGAGACATAGACACATATGTCATTCTCCTTTTGAAATACACACATTTTTTAATAAAATTAATGACCAAAGCAAATTTAACCAATCGTGCTGTCAACTGAACGGATCCAACTGGAAACTATTGCGATTCTCGCCCCTAGCCAGCCCACTTTTCAGTAATGGTATTTCAACTTTCGCTTTATAACTCTTGCTCCCACGACCTTTTCCAGAAATCGGCGGGACTTCTGCGAAAAGGGCGAGGTAACCTTCTGCAGCTTCAGAGGCCGAAAAATTTGAGAGAAGATAAGATTCTGCAATATGTCGCAGACTGGGTGTGACTAAGTGGGGGGGGGTAGCGGTGCCACACACGGCAGCGCTCAGACTTTGCTGCGATACACTCGACACACGCCATCGCGAAATCTGAACGCTGCCGTGTGCGGCACCGCTCACCACGTATACGGTCCGCTGGTAAAATCTTAGGTGTATTTATCCGTTTCGGTTCTGTTGTCAAGAGCCGAATCGGAACTTCGTCTCTACAACTCATCAAACATCCGAACATTTCAGAAGCTTGGAAAGCCTCCGGTCACTCACAGATTTTCGTTTGCAGTTCTGAAGAGCAAAGGTGACGTTCTCAGGAAAAGATGCCGGGAGTAAGCACCATATTCCTAGAAGAAACATATTTTTGTTGGACAACAAAAATGAGCAGTCCAGTCAATGACCCACCGTCGGTATCTAACTCAAGTGGCTTTCCAATCTGTTCTACAAGTTTCCTTGCCTCGGTAATGATTTTAGCTCCAGTGTGGCAGACGATGCCAGCCATTTCCATGGAAAACCTGAAGAGCTTCCAACTTATAGAAGACGCCATCGCAGGGTCAAGTGTTTGTCGTCAGAGTGAAAGATTGATGTAGATAAGGTACTGTTAAACACTTTTGACCCTATTGAGCTGACAAAAACAGAAATGATTGAGAAAATCACCATCGGCTGCCTTTGCGCATCACATAACCATAGAAAGAGTTTAGAATACACTTGTGGGCAAGTTGAAGAGATTCATATAGAACGATACGACCTGAAAAAGAAAACTGAATTTCCAAGAGCGATTAAAAAAGTACTGAAAGCTCCTTTCAACAGAACATCGAAACGTTTTTTGAGATACGAAAACGTTAATGGACTCATCCCAATCAATCCAGGAATAGCTCTGATATTCTCATTATCGGAACTTCTGTGAACACTTATGTCTAAGTTTGAACGAAATGAATCGTCAGTACTGTTGATCTTTAACAACCTCTCTTTTGGAAAACTGGCATTTCTGCCAAAATCTGTAATCGTTGGTATCTCTCAGGAGTACACGCCTCGTAGCGCGAGTGGCGCCTCGTAGCGCGTCATTGCAAAGTCTGAACGCTGTCTAGCGTACAATTCAGAGAGAAATCTGGTTACGACAGTTGTGGCACAAGTGGCAGACGCTTGTGCTCAAAACGGTGATAATGCCTATGGTAATGAGGTCGA